TTAACTGTGATTGCCTCAGTTTCCTCAGATGTAAAATGAACGAGAGAAGGAAATGGCAAACCACTCCATTATCTTTGCCAAGAAAACCCCAAATGAAGTCATGAAAAGTAGGCATAACTGAAATGACTGAGCAACAAAAATTTTACACACTTAAGCCCTAGACCTCCCCCTAAATACCCACTTTCACAACAACAACAATCACCATCACCACCACAAAAGCAACCTGCAAATATGAGGGATCAAATATGAACCTTGGAAGGAAAGCTATAGCAAATCTGGACAGCATACTGAAAAGCAGAGACATCATCTTGCCAACAAAGGTCCATATAGTCAAAATGGTTTTTCCAGTAACAATGTGTGGCTGTGAGAGTTGGACTATAAGGAAAGCTGAGTGCTGCAGAATCAACACTTTTGAATTGCGGTGCTGGAGAAGACTTTTGAGAGTCTCTTTGGATGACAAGGAGATCAAATCAGTTGATACTTAAACAATTAATTCAGACTGTTCACTGGAAGGTCAAATACTGAAGCTTGAAGCTTAAATACTTTGGCCATATGAGAAGACAGGACTCATTGGAACAGACACTGATGTTGGGAAAGATTGTGAAGGCAAAAGGAAAAGGGGATGGCGGAGAATGAGATGGATTGATAGTGTCAGAGAAACAATGAACATGAGCTTGGACAGACTTCAAAAGATAATGAAGGATAGAAGGGCTTGGCATGCTGTGGTCCATAGGGTCATGAAGAGTTGGATGCAATTGAACAACAACAAAATTGTGGCATGCTTATCTCTCTCTGTGATAGTGTTCTCATGCTGCTCTTCCTATCTCTCTGACTATATCATTTCCACATGTTTTGTTGGCTTCTTTTCCTCAAAGATACAGGTCTACTCCTAGTGTCTGTTCTTGGCATTCCTTTTTTTACATTCTTTTCCTTGTTGATCTCTCCTGTTCCCACTGTATCATCTTGAGATGGATGATTGGTTCCCAGATCTGTATCAATAGCTTTCACATTTCTCCTGAACTCCAGACCTAGATTCCTTGCTGGAAATCACCATGACTTACTTATTGGCACCTTAAACTGACCACACCAAAATTGAATGCATTATCATTTCCCCAGATACTTCTCTAGTTCTTTTTATGGTACCACCATTTTCCCCGTCATGAAACCTGAGTTATCTTTGAGTCCTTTCTCTTCCTTATCCCTCCCTCATTCAGTCAATCCTGTTGTCTATCCCTATGATATCTCTACCACTCGTCTTTTCCTTTCTAATCCTTCATATGTGGTGCCTCTTTTGACCCTGAGCACGATGTTTTTATTTATTAAGCACTCAGTAGGTTCTTAGTAAATGTTTATTGAATGAATGAAAGAATTCTTAATGACCACCACCCTACACTAGTCCTCACTTCTTCTTGCTTGAATCAAACTATTACAATAGCTTTCTAACTGATCTCCTTACTTGCAGAGTCTCCTAGCTCTCCACATCACTGTCAGGCACATTTTTACACACACACACACACGTTTCTGATGAAGTCACTCCTGCCCAGAAAACTTCGGTGTCCCATTGCCTATGAAATTAAAAGTAAACTCTGTTGCCTTTGAAGCCCTGAATAAACTTACACCAGCCCACGTTATCAATATTATTTCAAAGAATTCGCCCTTGGTGTTGTCTGTGCTCAGCATACTGGGCTATTCACTGTACCTCAAACAGGGCCTCTTCTTTTTTCACCTCTGCACCTTTGTTTTCATAATTTCCAACATCTGGAATGTATTTTTTTCTTAATCTATACCTGCTTTCTGATCCTCCAAGGGTGAACTCATGTGCCACTTCCTCCATCAAGTCTCTAGTGCCCTCCAGTTAGAAGTAATGTCTCCCTTCTCAGGGTTCTCTTCATATGTTATGTTTTTCCTACATTCTTGTCTTCTTCCCTTCTAGATTGTAAATTATTTGAGGGTAGGGATTAGGTCTTATTTAGGGAGGCTAGGACGGTCATTTATTTTGAAGTCTGCTAGCAGACCAAAACCTATAAATAGCTTTCAAAACATAGACTGTTTATCCAGACATTGAAATGAATAGTAAATCAAGAGAACATGAGCCACATTCCTGAAGAACACAGACTTATCCCCCTTTATCCTTAGGATAATTTGGGCTATGAACTCCTCCAAGCATTTATAACTTCGATAGGTAAGACTTGGACAGTCTCTGCAGCTGGGATGGGGATAAGGGGTGTTGCTGTTTCTTGTTAAGTCACATCCGACTCTTCATGACCATAGGACACCAATGCTGTCCATAGGATTGTCTTGGCAAAGATGCTGGAATGATTTGCCATTTCCTTCTCCGGTGGATTAAGGCAAACAGGGTTAAGTGACTTGCCCAGGGTCACATAGCTAGTGTCTGAGGCTGGATTTGAATTAAAATCTTCCTGACTCCAGGCCCAGTGCTCCATCTACTGAACCACCTAGCTGTTGGGGTAAAGGGTAGGGAAAGTAAAAACATCTGTATTAGATTGTGTCCTGTCAGTTTCTGGTGCCTTGAGCAGGATGTCTCCTCTCTTTTCTGCTCACCTTAGAATCCGTCCATGCTTGGCTAGGAATCTAAAACCATTCCTGGCTCTTGGAGGCTGCCATTGCTGATTCCCTGCCCCTTGGGTTGTCCTTCCTCCCAGAAGCCTCTTTATCTCATCAGTCAGTAGCTGTTTTGTTATCATGGGCTCTTGGGAAATATCTTTTCTTTAACTGACGTTACCTCTTAACTGCTTACTTAACTGCTACCTCCTCCCCTGGGGAAAAAAATTGCAGTCGTTTCAAATTATACGAGGTGTACGTGTACATAGAGGAACACGTCATACGTCATCCATTTATTTGTATTTCACGTAGTTTGTTGAATATAAACTATCCCAGACATAGGGGCTACATGAAGATTCATAATGTATCTCCATTATTAAAGCTCCTTGGTACATATAGATGGAAATTCAGAAGAGGGAGGTCACTGAGGGCTAAAGTCTCAGGAAAAGCTGTTAAGAAATTGGAATTGAACTAGGCCAGGGGCAGCTAGATGGCACAGTGGATAGAACACTGGCCCTGGAATCAGAAGGAGTTGAGTTTAAATCTGGCTTTGGACAATTATTAGCTGTGTGACCCTAGGCAAGTCACTTAACGCCATTTGCCTCTCCCCCAAAATTGATGCAACCAGAGAGAAGTAAGGAGGAGCTCTTCAGATGAGGAATGAGAAGCACCTAAGAGCTGGCAGAGAACTTAGAGATTATGCAGTCCAGCTTTCCAGTTTTTATAGTGAGGAAATGAAGGCTCAGAAATAAAGTCACAGAGGCAGAAGTGAGGGAGGTATATTCAGAGATAGTAAAAGGACCAACTTGTCTGGAGGAGAGATGATGGAACGCCTTGAACCCTCCACGTCCTGGAGGCCATGGGGAACTGTTGAAGGTTTTTTGATCTGGGAAAGACCATGATGAAAATGTTTTTTTAGTAAGATTACAGGATAGATTAGGCGAGAATCTGGAAGCAAGGGGAAATCCTGTGACGCTACTATGGTAGCGTTGGTGTGAGGAGTGAAGGGACTAGACAAGGGTGGCAGTCGTGGGGATGAAAAGGAAGTAACTAACGGAGGTGAAATACATTATTTCAGTACTTAAGATGATCCATGACTTAATCAGTGTGGAGGTCTCCCCAACTGATGAAGACTGCACGAATATCACAGCTGGAAGAGACCTCTGGCCATCCATCCCACAGACAAACGAGAATTCCCCTTGACTGCATCCCTGACAAGTAGACATTCGGTGTTTGGAATGTTCTTCTGTCTTGTTGGTCCTTTTACAAAAGATAAAAATTGTGTGTTTGTGTGCATGCGCATCACCTTATGATGATGTGAGAACAGTTTTCCTGGATACACTTTTTCATACCTAGGTAGACAATTTCATGAGTTGTAGTGACTAAGGAATGCCATTACCTGGTCACTAGCCTTTTGGTGATGATCTTAAGCTTAAGTAGGCTGGTCTTCAAATGAAGACAGAATTGGGGTTCTCAGCTTTCATTGGGTCCATACTATTAATCAATAAGCATTTATTAAGCATCTACTGTGTATGTCAGGTACAGGGCTAGTTCCTGGACATACCAAGACAGAAATGGAACAGTCCCCGCCCTCTTGGAGCTTATCTGCCGGCTTGCTAGGGCCTGCCAGTTCTTGTGCTCTGCTGGTAAACCTTTGAAGAACCCTGGCTCACCTTCCCTTTGCAGCTAAGTGTCCAACTGAAAGGGAACTCTCGGTGGATGATATTATATGGAGGAGGTTGGTCGGGGTGAGAGAGGAAAGTCAAAGGTGACTTGGAAGTTTGGAGCCTGGGTGATTGGTACAATGAGAAGGAATCGGGATGTGGGCCATTTTGAGGGTAGAAGATGATGAGTCTATTGTTAGATCTGCTGAGTTTTAGGTGATAGCCAGGCCTCAAGCCCATTCTAATCCTAGGACTTGCTCCTCCTCTCTTCCTTGAGACACGAAACAGAAGATGTTAATACCTTAATGCTTAAATACCTGAAACATTGTGACTTGGTGAAAAGAATGTTGGATATTCATTCAGAGAAATTGGATTAGAATCCCAGCTTTGTTACTTCTAACCTCTGTGTTATTGGGCAAGTTACTTAAATTCTTTAGGCCTCAGTTTCCTCATCTGTAAAATGAGATCATTTAAAATGAGATGACTTATGAAGACATTCTTCTATGAAGACATTCCCTTCGAGTTCTCTGAATCGTGTGAGCCCCTGGGAGCAGGCAGCAGAGTGGATGGAATGCTGAAATGTCCCCACATTGATCTTTTCATCTGTTTCATTTAAACTTCTCCATGCTCTTTGCTAAAGCCTGGACTGCGGTCTTTGTTATAGGAATGAGATTTAAGGGAAATTGATGTACAAAGTTGCATGAGCCAAGGATCGTCAAATAAAATGGTTTCTTGTAGTTCATTGTTTTGTGGAAAACTCTTTCCTTTGCACAGGTGTCCAGCAGGCTTCCTGGGGGAATACTGCCAACAGCTGGATCCCTGCGACAGGACCAAATGCCAGAATGGAGGAACCTGTGTGGCTCTGGCCATGCAGGGGAAAGCCACATGCCGCTGCGCGCCAGGCTTCACGGGTGAGGACTGCCAGTACTCCACCTCCCACCTGTGCTTTGTCTCTCGCCCCTGCCAGCACGGAGGTACTTGTCAGATGCGTAGCCGAGACACGTATGAATGCATCTGCCCACCGGGCCGTACAGGTAGGGATTGGGACTCAGGTCAGTGCCTCCTCCATCCTTGGCAGGAGGCTCTTCCTTGTCTTTGATGGTTCTTGATGTCTATTCTTAAAGGCCTCCCCTGGAATAGATAGATTATGGGATATTTTCTTCCACTCTGGCCTTTTAAGAAGAAGGAATGATGAATGAATAGTAGAGGAGCCTGGCAGGGATGTGATGTGTCTGAGTGGTTTGCCCTTCAGAAATTAGAATACAGAAAATTCGTCATCCAGAGACCAGGAGCACAGCTGTCCCTCATTCCCCTCTCTACCCTACCTTAGGCACTGAATGACAATACATTGCTCTTACCAATAGAAAAAGAAGAGGTTTGTATAAAAAAGAAGGATAGGAGTATTGGAGCTCTGGCATAGCTCTGGGTTTTCCTTTTCCTTTTCACCTTGGGCAAGTGAGCCGAAATCATCCTTCTCCCTCAGCCAGACTTGTAGGTGAAGCCATGATTAGGGTTTGGGCAAACCTTTCCAGATAAAGCTGTTTCACAAAGGGTGTTTGTTTTTAAGAAAAGCTCAGTACTTCTTCTTTCCTTCCTAATAAAAGGAAGTATCTACAGAGTATACATATTGCCACACACCTCAGCCAACGTGTCATCATTCTGAGAGCAGTATGGTGCTGTGCAAAGAGCATTGGACATAAAAGCAGAGGAACTGGATTTTGGTCACTAACTAGCCATGTGACCTTCTATAGGCCTTTAATCTCTCTGAGTCCCAGTTTCCGTGTGTATAAAATAGTAGTGCCTACCCTGCTGATCTTACAGGGTTACCATGTGGAATTAAAGGGAGGGAGGGAGAGAGAGAGAGAGAGAGAGAGAGAGAGAGAGAGAGAGAGAGAGAG